ACCAAAAAAGGATGGCCAAAGCAAAAATGACGCCCCATCCGTTAGGGGCCACTTGAGCAGGTGCCAGTCCAGTTCGATTTAAGAACTCCTAGGCAAAAGGATGAAAGAGAAGTCTGAGGCCGTACTCAAACATCTTTAAATAAAGAGTGACCCATCCCTCTGGGGGATTGTCAACTCTTTCCCCTCCCTCCGCAATCCTAAGGAGGATATCATTCGGAATTTTAAACCCCCTACGGAGGGGTCCGAGATAGTGCTCGGGCATTTTTGAAGGGTATTCCAAACCCTGACCCGAGGCGGAAGCATCACTATCCTCCCCATCATCAGAAAACCTAAAGTTTTCAATCTCTTCCAGTTCTGATTCTAACCTACGAGCTAAGTCCTCCCCCGAGTCACTTGGTTTGGGGGGCGAACTGCTTATTGTCCGACCTGCGCTACCTAAACTATCACTACTGGAAGGGGAAGACATGAAAACTACCATATTTGAAAAGAAGAGTAAAACAAGAGTGACTGACCTACAGAAGGTTCGAGCTGGTTTCAGATCGAACTCCAAAAATTCAGGAAACGTAAGATTTGACCTGAAGTCTCGAAACTATTTATAGTTAATCGGAACAACCTCTACGTCGTACACGTGTAATGAACGAGTGGCCAGGATCATCTTGAAATTCGTAACGACGAAATACTTGAGTACTCCGACAACCTGGCAGATCGAAACATCTTCCGCAACGGTCATATTCTCTCTACGAATTAGAAGTCGCCACGTGTCCAAAATAAACTCGGATCAACTTCTCTACCAGGTCGAGATCGAACCTGACAGAGAGGGGGCCAATGTTTGGGGGTAAAAATACCTTGGACACGTGGAGGACGCTTATTGGTATTCAAGAATTAAAATATCTCAGGTCCACCTCGAACCTACCGAATAGGTCGGGTTAGCCCATTGGAAAAAAGGCTAAGTATACATGTCGAAGTTTGACCTGATTGGGGTTCGATCTGCTCGGAACCCGACAGGTCCGACATGAGAAAAAACATGTAACCGTCGGTCGTGAGTACTGTCGGATCCACCACCTATAAATAGAGGACCTCATTTCACGCTCAGGTATCGAATCTCACCTCGAACTAAATACTGAGTCCGATCTATACTGACTTGAGCGTCGGAGAGTTTACCCTCTCGTGCAGGTTCACTCTTGAGTTCAGGTCGAGCCAGAGACCGGGTTCGAGCTTGGTTCATAGAACAGAGTTGTGCAATCCTTTGCATAAACAGAGTTGTTTTGAGAAGATCATGTTGTTGGAACAGACAATTCCCTAAAATTTTAATTTCTAAACAAATTAAAAGTATTTGACTGACATTTGATTTATATTTGGAAACAAAATTAAGCTAGGATTAGAAAAATACCTTTGTAGAATCCTCAATTTGATGCTCCACGAGATCTTCTATGTTATGACTTGAATAACGAACCAATGTGTGGAAACTTCTTGAAAGAGATAAAATTCTCTCCGTATTTAGCTTAACCCATGATCCTATTTATCCGAGTTAGGGTAGAGTATTTTAATATCTCATATATTAAAATTTCATATTATTTTAGTCTTATTAAAATAAATATTTTATTACTATATCTTATATATTAATTATTAATTTTTTTTAAAGTATCAAATACATTAATTATGGCACCCTTACTAAGTGGAAGAAACGGGCCAGGAAAGGTCCACACCAGATTGCTCAAGGCCCAAATGCCTCCAACGACTCTTTGTCATCCAAAAGGAAAGCTAAGTATGTTTCTTAGGCAAATCCAGCTATGAAAAAATAGAAGCATCAGTTCAATGATGATACTACCTCCTCCACATCGGCGAAGGCTCTCCAACAACCTTCGTTGAGAACCATGAAAACATTCTGCTGGAATGTTCATGGGTTGGGGGATCTCCAGACATTCAGAGTTATATGTGATTTTATACGTCACGAAAACCCTCTTATTGTTTTCCTTATTGAGATTAAATGTACCACTTCATTAACAAATAAATTGAAGATCTCTCAACTGTTCAGGGCTAAGTGGAGGGCTCTGTCTTCTTTGGAGGGATCCAGTTGATATAACTATTCGATCATTCTCTTCACACCATATTTACTCCAATGTTCATTGGACCTCTTTCAATTGACGGTTTACAAGCTTTTATGGTCACCCTGTTACGCACAAGAGAATCTAGACTTGGGAATTACTCATGCGTATCTACAATAAGGATGACTAACCTTGGCTTGTTGGAGGCGATCTTAATGCAATTATGTGGTGCCATGAATAGTCCTCATCCAACCTCTCTAATGATAACTTAATTTCCAATTTCAGGGCAACTTTAGATTATACTTCTCTTTTTGATATGGGTTATCCGGGTGACAAATACACCTGGTGTAATAATAGAGAGGATGTTGCCCAACAATGGAGGCATCTTGACAGATTTCTTTGCAATAATTCTTTCTCCATAGCTTTTCCGAATGCGACAATGTGCCATTTGCCATGGTCAAAATCTAATCATCGGGCTATCTCTTTGGATCTTTCACCAATTACAATCAGACACTCCCGTAATGAGTCCTTCAAATTTGAAGAATGTTGAACCCTTCATTCAAACTGTCGGAGTATCATTACAGATTCTAGCCATTGGACTTCTCCATACACCAACCACTCCTTGATTTCTAATTTGAAGACTATTTCTCATGCTCTTTCCTTATGAGAGCTACCATGATGTACTCAACCCTACCACAAGTGGCTTAGACAACCCTTGTAAGAACAAGCACCTCCTAAACACACACGGCAATACCTAGTACACACACAAAGAATCATCCAAGGGGAAGAAAAAGGGACTTACCTTGAAGGTCAAGACTTTGCATGGAGAGAACTTGTTCTAGATCCAAAATGAAATATTCCACAAGTTTGATGACCAACCTAAACTTGCATGTTTCAAGGGGTTTGTGCAACTAGATCAAGATGCACCAATGCTCACGGTTTTGGGAGCAAAGAGGAAAGCTCATGGCTATTTCATTTAATCAATAATCCAACCTCCCAAATGTACAAGAAGAAGCCTATTTATAGGCATCTTGAATTTTCCTAAAATAAAATGAAAAAGACTTTAACTAAACCTAGACTAAAATAGTTACAAATGGACTTAACTAAGTTACATAATCCTAAAGTTGGATCTAAGAGCTATTACATAAATTTTACATTAAATCCAAAAGAATGTTACAATTCTAATTACATGAAAACACTAATTCAATGATCAAACCCTAAATAACCCCTAAAAGTTTCTTTCTCCACTTTTTCTCCTTCCTCATGAAGCTTGATAATCCACATGTAGAAGTGGAGATCCCCTTCTT